CCCATCAGAATTTTGGACATGCACATACACATACCTGGCATGTTTTTCAAGCTCCTCCGGCAGAATTAAAACTGTGGTCAGCCACGTGGGATATGGCTCCCTTACCTATTATACTAAAAGCCAGCCACCCAATGAGATATTATTAACAGACGGATAATACACATAATAGTCAAAGCTACTGTTTTTTGAGTTCTGTGGAATACAGACACTATACAAGGCCCTTTCTATGCTTTCTATACTCCACGTCATCTTCACATCTACTCTATAAAATAGCTGTCAATTCTCCTACTTTATATGAAGAAAAGGGGTCTCACAACTAGCATATAAGAAAAGTAAAAAGTCATACTTAGTGTAGTCTGGCTATGGCCCAAGTTCTTAAAAATGCAACTTTTCTGCCTCTGCCTCAGTCAAAAGAGAAACTGGTATTCCATAAAAAAGAAGCTGTTTGCATGGGTATTTTACATCATACCATAATGATTTTTTTAATTGCTGTATTCTCCTATTCTGAAAATACCAAAGAGTTCAGGGAATCTTACAGACTACTCGATTTATTGCTTATGCTCACACTGTGTGAGTAGGACGACTGATGGCCAAATTGGCTGAATGACTTGCCTTAGACTCAGACAACTAGTTTGTGACAATGACAAGTCCACAATTTCAATCTCCAGCTTATACCCTGACACACCTGGCATCTTACTAGAGTATCTCACACTTAGCAACTGAAGTCTTTTCAGTCTCATACAAAATGTCCTAACCTAAGGAAGGAGACAATGATTCTAAATTCCAAATAGGATATTAACAGCCTGTTTCTGTCTCCAATTGCTCAACTGAACTTTTAAACCTGAAGGCAGACTTATTTGTTTCACTTTCTTACTGCTGTATATTTAGTGCCTTGAATAGTACCTGGCCCCAGGTAGACATTGACTGGATAAGAGCTTTGTAACTAGAGGGAAGGGCATGTTGGGGGGTCCAGAGGGCATGTGAGGGCTGAGGTTTACAGTATGGCTTAGCAGGCTCCGTGGAGGATGCTGAGTCTCCTGGAGATGACAGCAAGGAGATGAACACACAGTTGTGAAGACCCTGGGAAACGATCTAAGGAGTTTGGGGTTTATTCTGTGAATGCTAGGGATTCAATGAGGGTTCATTAGCAGAGAATAGGGTTATTAGTATTTAGTGGGTTATCAATATATAAGACACCAAATTATATTGCACAGTCATGAAGTACAGAATGAATGAGAGGTGTGAGTAGACCAGGACCTCTTGAGGCTATCCATCACATTGTCCTGTTTTATTGTCCTCGTGGTGCTTCTCACCTGCTGAAATCTTGTTCATTCACATACTTATATATTTATCTATCTGCCTCCCTACCAAAATGTCAGCTCAGCCCAATTAGAGCATGGGGACCTTGCCTCATTTGTTTATAGCTGCATCCCCAGCACATGGCATAATGCTTGGTCTATAGTCTATGTTCCATTAACACTTTTTGAATGGATTAATTAATCATAGGTTTTATACAGGAGTTGAGATTATAGATCAATCAGAAAGCTTATAAATGATCAGAGAGAATGGGAGAGACCATGCAGATACAAAGATTGTGAATAAAAGCAATCCAGTGGAAAAGAGTCTTGAGTTAATAGGATCAGTAAGGTGATGGACCTTGTGTGAAATTGTGCATTACAGTTACAACATGGTTCCCAATTTGTAACCTCCTGTGCATTTATCTGTTTATCTCTTTATTATGAATTTCTTCCTAGTAAAGTGTAACCTCCAGGAGGGCAAGCATTATGTTTATTTCACTTTTCACTGTCACCAGAATAGTGCTTCATACATAGTAAGCACTCGATAAATAGTAGTGAAAGGAAAATAGTAAAGGAAGAAAAGTAGGTCAGTAGATAGGTAAGTGAGTAGATGGAACAGAAGATTGGTATTAGGTTGAATCACATCAATTGCTAATGCAGGTCAAAAGTCATCAATTATTGTCTATTTCCATGTTTCAGTCTGTACTTTCATCTTTCAGGGTTTATGCTTCATTGCCTGGCTGTGGTGGGTCTTGAGATAGAATTTATTTGCTGTTTGTTTGTTTATTAAAAGCTGAATAGGTTTTTGACCAAGGTATCTCATTATTGAAAGGGCAGCAAACCATTTGACAAGAAGATGAAAAAGTAATGAAGAATTATTAATAAAACTATCAGCCCAATAGTATTTGTGCTCCATGGTCTGGAATTTCACATCTAACCCCTGTTTCACAGCATTCATTGTGCACACTTGCATTTAATTATTCCCCACATAAAATAATATGTGAGCTGCTATGCACATACATCCAATTAAGTAGATGTCTGAGCAGGGATTTTAATAACCTTGAAAATTTATTCAGTTAGAGAAGAAGCCCAAGTGCTTCTCATATGTTTTATGCCTTTTTGCAACAGTGCAGGGGGAGGGGCACTGAGGAAGGTATACTAAGCCCAACGATTTTTAAAAAAGGAGAAAATAGATCAAGTTAATTTTCAGGCTAAGCTAGGGCTACAAGCAACCTTTGCAGTCTCAACTGTTCCTTGTTGAGTGGTATGTCTAGCTGCCCAAACAAACCTTTAGGTAGTTCTGTCAACCCATAATTATTAGGAACAGTCTATATTCAGAATGTTTGGGGACTCTGGCTATTAACACTGAACCACAATCTGCCATCATATGGAAAGGCTCACAAGAGTCAGGTCCCTGCCCTGGTATTGCTATCAGATTACTATGGGATCTGGGCAAATCACTTTACCTCTTGGCCTCAACTTCCCATCTATACAGGAAGGGAATGAAACAGACAATCTTGACATTTCCTTCCAGTTTCTGAGTTGGGTGATTCATTAATGTCTATGTGCCAAACTGGCTTATGAAGAAAGGCACAAAATTCAGGGAAGGAAAGAATGGCAACTGAATATGGCTCATGCAAATAGTAGCAGGTCAACAACTGGGGAGAAATATTCACCTACCCATCTAACCATCCATCCACCCATCCATTCATCTGTTCATCCAAACAGCAGATATTGCCATTACAATGACAGAGGATTTCAGGCAATGCAAGATTCCTTCTCCTGGGGAAGAATCCTCACGTAAGAGGAAGGGTTTGTGAAAAAAAGTATATGCTCTGTGCATTTCAGCGGCATCCTTGGGATTACCATAACACAGTTCTACCCCTGGAACCATACAAAACTGATTTCAAATCTAGCATCTGCCACTTTACAGCTCAGTAACTGTAAGGAGTTTGATTATCTTTTCTCTGTAAAATTGTCTCATCCATAAATAAGGGTACTAACCATGTTACCATCGTTGGATGGTTGGGGTATTATTGTTTGAGTACTTAGAACAGCACAGGGCACATTGCAAGCATTTAATTAACATCAGTTTCTACTATTACTATTCTTGTAGCTTTAATTATTACTAATGAGTCACTCTTGTTGTGTTTGGTAGATTGTAAAACTGGAGAAGAATGGCATTGGCTACCACTACATCCTTGCAAATCTGGTAAGTAGAGCATTGCAGGTTTTCATCTGGGGGCCTTTACATGTTCAGAGCCCTAGGTGGCTTTTGTGCTTCTGGCTAGTATAAATTCTGTGGGTTGAAGGGGCAGTTCAGAGCTGCAATACTAAGTCCTTGCAATACCAAATTTATCTTTTCCCCTCCACATCCCACTTGTCAAAACACAGCATACTGGGGACCAGCAGTTGGCATAATAGCTATGTCGCTGGACTCCAATGTAGTGGACCATGGTTCGAATCCCAGACCCAGTGGTTTAAACTCATGCCAGGCACAGGTGCATGCATGCTCAAGATCCCAAGAGGAGAATGGAGGAGAAGGGATTGCAGTGTGGCCATCGCCCATGGGGGGTGGGGGGGATGATTTCTCACTTTCTATCTCTCTGTTTCTCTCTGCTCTCTTGTCTTTCTGGTAAGGAAACGTGCCCTATAGCAAAACAACAGCAACAAAACAAAACAAAGCAAAGCAAAACAAAACACAGCATACTGTTCTTAAACATCTAACCTTCCTTAGAAGATTTCATGCTGGTGGCCAGGACTTAGTTAGTCGTCACAATTTCAGCTTTAACTGGTTCTGTCCCTTGACAATAAGAACAAAATTGCTACATCCATAAGTGTCTTGATCTCCTTGGTATTGGCCCTCCATTTTATCTCAGTTGTATTTATAAATGCAAACATTTAAATAATGATTATACTAGTATTAACAAATCTTTAACCAGAAACAATTTTCCAGCATGACCAGTATTATATCAATTTAGTATTTTTCATTTTTCTGTATGACATAAATAACCCTGCCTTTTTAACAAATTTGTTTTCATTTCAACATACTACAGTTCTTTTAATGGGGTACAGTTATTTTCCACATTCCATTGAGGTTTTGATTTATCAAGACATTTTTTTACTTATTACATTTTATCTAATAGCATAATGTACCATTATGAGTTTTCTTTTGTGAACATAATTTCTATCAAGTCTACTTCCTTGACAATAAGAACAAAATTGCTACATCCATAAGTGTCTTGATCTCCTTGGTATTGGCCCTCCATTTTATCTCAGTTGTATTTATAAATGCAAACATTTAAATAATGATTATACTAGTATTAACAAATCTTTAACCAGAAACAATTTTCCAGCATGACCAGTATTATATCAATTTAGTATTTTTCATTTTTCTGTATGACATAAATAACCCTGCCTTTTTAACAAATTTGTTTTCATTTCAACATACTACAGTTCTTTTAATGGGGTACAGTTATTTTCCACATTCCATTGAGGTTTTGATTTATCAAGACATTTTTTTTACTTATTACATTTTATCTAATAGCATAATGTACCATTATGAGTTTTCTTTTGTGAACATAATTTCTATCAAGTCTACTTTTCCTGGGTCATGTTTTACACATTCACCTTTTTTATTAAGTTTTATTCTTCCAGCTGTTTTGTTTTCCAATGCTGTATATAGTTTTATTTTGCATTTAGTTCCATTTTAAAAGCGTTTAATAAGATGTAATTCACATACCAACAGCTTATCCACTTAAATTGTACAATTCAATGGCTTTTAGTATACTCAGTTATGAAACCATCACCACAATCTCATTTTTAAAGTTCCATCACCCCCAAAATAAACTGCATACCGGTTATAGCCATTTTCCATCACCCTCTAAGCTTCCCCAGCTGTAGGCAACCACTAATCCACTTTCTATCTGTATCAGTTTGCCTATTTAGGACATTTCACATAAATGGAATCATACAATATATGAGCCTTTGGGACTAGTTTCTTTCAATAATCATAATGTTTTAGAGGTTTATCCATTTTGTAACATGTAGTACTTAATTCTATTTTTTTTTTTTTTAGAGAGTGAGTTTTTTTGCTATAGGGTACATACACTTGCCAGAGATTCAGAGAGAGAGAGAAAGATAGAAAGTGAGAAATCACCCCCCAGGGGAATGGCCACACTACAATCCCTTCTCCTCTATTCTTCTCTTGGGGTTTTGAGCATTCAGGCACATGCGCCCACCATGAGTTTTAAGCAGCTGGGTCCAGAACTCGAACCACAGTCAACTGTGTGGGAATCCAGTGCATCTGCTGGTCCCAAGTACGTCGTTCCTTTTTATTGACAAATAATATTCCATTATAAGGATATACCACATTTTGTTTATCCATTCAACAGCTGATGGACACTTGGAATGTTTTCACTTTTTGAACTATTCATTATCATGAATAATGCTTCTGGGAACATCAGTGTACCCAGTATATACTTAGGAATATATACTGAGCTGTGTTCTAGGCTCTCATTATGACATTTTGAGGGACTTTAAAATCACTTTCCAGAATGACTGCATCTCCCATGAAATCTTAATCAGTAACAAATTTTGTCACATGACACTTTGAATGACTGTCGATTTTTCTTAATGGTGTCTTTTTCTACAAAATTTATTTATAACCATGTCCTGACTTTGTGATTTTCATGTTCTATAAGATGTGATTATTTTTAGGTTTTTATCTATAACAAATTTCAGTTTAGCCTTGCTTAACTGTACATATAATTACGCTCAGCTTTAATCATGCCATCTTGTGTTATTTCAGTGACAATATTAATTATTAATTGAATAAAACATTGATATTTTGTACTTACTTTTGGAGTAAAGGTCATTAGTAGAACTGAGGCATAGGGTCCCTGGATCTAAAAATGGAGACAATATCCTGCCTAATCATCAAATTCTGTCCCTGTTTCTGGTCTTGTCTCTAGCTGTAGGTCTGTGCATTACTGTAAGTTTCCCTTTAATTCCTTGCCTTGGGTGTCCCAATTGGTATTTCAGAGTCGGGACTGGAAACAAAACTTTTATTGAGGCAAATTAATTTAGACCCAGCTATTAACAGCTAAATATGTTACTTTTCTCAAAGGTATTTGCATTTTAAATGAGTGGCATCTATTTTAGAGCTATTTGTAGAACCCAGGGTCTCAAACCACTCCCCACAAAAAAAAAAAAAAAAAGGGGGGGGGGGGAGGAAATGGAGGTTTTGACTTTGGAATGAGGGACATTTTTGACATCCTTCAGATTCCAGATCTGTAGTGCTAGAAGAGACTTTGGAAGTCAGCTCCACCTAAATCTCATTTGCTTGCAGGGAAGCAGACCAACAAAGGAATGTGATTTGGCTAGGGTCACACAGCAGACCAGCCTTGCAGCTAGGCCTAGCCCCAAAGTTAGCACAACACCCAATGCCTTTCCCACTACTTCAGGACATCTCTCATGAGACCTCGTGTGCATCCTGCTTTGTAAGAATACACAGAACAAGGGAGGAGACATGCGTAATTACCTCCCTGGGTGAGAGGAAATTACACATTGGTAGCCACAGAGCCAATGAAAGATCCCAGGTAATTACATCACCAGCCTCCATCTGTTGCCCCTTATTCACAGCATCACAAGTCAGTCCCTTGGGTTGCTATATCCTTCTGATCTGCATTTTTCTTCTTCTGACCTAATGAGCTCTCAAATCTGTACAACTGCCAGCTAATAGGATGCAAATTGCATATACCATCCATATACAAAAGATTTGCATGTTCCAATAGATTAGTTGATAATTAGGCTTCAAATTACTAATTAATTCAGTTTGAAACATAGTCAAGTATGTGGTATGTGTTTTCTTCCCCAGTCACAGGAATAACGCAATTTATAAGATGATAATTTTTAGAAATTCCGCCACATAATTAGCCTACTGCTGCATGGAACTGACCCCCTCCTTCGGAGGGTTTGCGATTAGGGTGTAATTATATAGTTAGAGACCAAGGAAGGCTTTGAAAGATTTAACAAAAGTAGGGAGCTACACTTTTATTTTGTAGTTTTTTCTGTCCCTGTTGGAATGTATGAGCTTCAAAGTAGCTAATGGCATTCTTCTAGCAGATTACTTTGGAGGGATGCTTTGGGGGTCCAAATAGCCACCCTTGGATGGCTACTGGAAGAGAAGAAGAAAGGAAACTGCAGTTCAGAGAAAAGGACTTACGAGCAGGGAGAATAAGGAAAAAAAGGCCTTGATTTTTGTTCCACTTTCACCCTTATAAAACTCTGTGTTCTTGAGGAACTCTATCCCTCCATATCCCCAACTGTTTTTTTCTAAGAATTATTTTATTTAACTTTATTTTATTATTATTATTTTCCAGTTTGGTAGAGAGAGGCAGAGAGAGAGAGAGAAAGTGAGAAAGCAAGCCACCAGGTCTAGGACTTGAACCACGGTCAGTCATGTGGGAATCCACTATGCCACCCACTGGCCCTCCCCAACTGTTAACTGAGAATAATAGCTCTTGCTCTATCTGCCCACTCATAAGTGTCATTAAAGAGACCAAATATGTGGCCATGTGCTATTATGCTTTGAAAAGTTAAGTGTCCTACAAATGTAGAGAATTCTTACTTCATATACTAAATCCACCCATCTGTACATATTCACATATATTTGTATGTATTTATACATGTAATCATATCCTATATATATTTGATAGGATATGTGTGTGTCTTTGTGTGTGTGTGAGTGTGTGTGTGTGTATATATATATATCCATAGCTTTGAGAGCACCGAATCCTAACCACTAGACCACTAGGGAACTTAATCCATAGCTTTGAGATGACCATAAAGCGGACTTTGAAGAACATGTAGCTCACTTTGCTAGGCACTAGGAATTCAAATATAAACAAGGTAGACACAATCCTTCCTCTAGGAGCTTACAGGTAAACAGGGATAAAAAAGTGATAGTAAATCAGTTATCTAATTTCAGTTATGAGAAGTAAATACATGGGACTATGTGGCATCATGCAACAGGTAGATGAGATTTAGTCTGGGAGGAGGTTAAGGGTCTTCAAAGTCACTGAATGAATGAATAAAATGGTTTCTCAGGAAATTAACAACATTTGCACCCATATGTCAAATGGACTTAAAAGCAAAATCCTTGTGAAAGTGCAAAAAAAAAAAAAAAGAAAGAAAGAAAGAGAAAGGAAA